TTCACTCCTTTCTTAAAACAAACTTGGACAAATAAAGACATAATACATTAGATAGCCCACCGGAATTTATTTATAAACTTACTGAGAGATACATGTTTATGTTTATCTTACATTAGTTGCAACAGGGGTGGGTTTCTCGCCCTGTTCCAACCAGTTCGGTTGGAACGGGGCTGGCGGCGTCCTCGTGCATGCATACTAGCGTCTGTGCGATGCTCCAGCTGCTCCTGGAGGATTGCGCAGGCGCTGTATGCATCCTGCTGCGCATGCGTGGAATCGCAGAACTCGTCAAAATCGGGTAAGAAACGCGGGCGGGTGGGTGGACCCTTCGGCGTTCCCGGAGGTTACTTACTTCCGGGTTCGCCAACCAACCGGTTCGCAGGGACCGCCGCGAACCACCTGAAACCCACCCCTGTTGCAACTAATGTAAGATAAACATAAACATGTATCTCTCAGTAAGTTTATAAATACATTCCGGTGTGCTATCTAATGTATTATGTCTTTCTTTGTCCAAGTTTGTTTTAAGAAAGGAGTGAACATTAACCAAAATCAATACCCTGTCAATATTCTGAATATTTAGTCTAGTTTTTTTGGATTTTAAAAGTAAATGCCTCCCCCCCGCCCCCAATAATAACTAGACAATAACTCTTTTTGGTCTGAAAGCTCTGCCTCTTTTTCTCAGTGATGGATAAAACCAGGTTGGAGAGGAAATTTTGAACAAGAAGACCTTAAAAGAAAAGTGTTAAGGACTTCTTCCTGCCCAAAGTCCTTTTTCTCCCATAGCTGAATTTCTGAAGGAACAAAGCCTATTATGGTTCTCCTAGCCCAATGACGACAAGCCTTTTTGGCACTGAGAGCTAAAAAGGGAGCGCTTCATGTGCATGCTTGTCTGGGACGCGACCCGGAAGAGGAGCTGCCCAGGGGGCATGTGCACACTGTAAAATGAACTTCTGTGCATGCGCACTGGCCAGCAAGTCTTCCAGTTACTGCTACGCATACGCACATGCCAATCAGCTGGCTGGAGCACATGCTCACGGCGGAAAACAGAAGATCACCTCTTTCAGTTTCCGGCACTGTCAGATGCACAAAGGACAACTGATCATCATGTGCACATGCACGCCAAAAACCTGGAAGAAGAATGGATGACACCACGCGTGCCAGGCAACATGGCTCCATGTGCCACTTCAGGCACCTGTGCATCACAGTCTAGGCTGTATGTATTTTGGAGTATGCAAATATGGAAAGTTTGTCTCTACTTCTAAATGGGGTGATTCAGAGAAATGAACCCATTGCTGTTTTATCATTAACAATTCATTCTTTAGTTGGACTGAACCATCCACAGTAAAAGACAAACTACATGGAACTCTTAAATAGCCCTGTGTTCTCCTGCCATTTTATTTAAATTTTTAAAAAAAGCTTAGGATTGTTGCAGCTGCAAATTCACACTTTCTTTTCTAGCCACAACCTGGAATCTTTTATATTTGGGCAATATATAACTGCTGTTAGATACATAAATAAAGAATTCCATTAAAAATTAATTAATTAAAGAATCTTCTTTCTCCTGTTGGTCTGACTGTATCTTTCTAGAGTTCATTTAAATAAAAAATTGAATTATTCATGCAAAATATTACAGCCACAGTGTGACTTAAAGATTAAACTGATAAATCATGAAGATGTACAGTATCATCATACATAAATGCATACCACTAATTTCAGGGATACCTATTTCCAGGTTAAAATGCAGAGGGGCACAATCTTAGCTGGACTAATATTTTGCTGGATGTAGCCATGTAGCCTAAAGAATATATTAGGCTAAGAAGCATATTGGAATTTATTTTGCATGGAGTATGTATCAATAGCAGTCTGAGTCTTAATGAAATCCTGCCCCTTACTCCAAAAAGAAGACTGAGGGTGTTTGATGAAAACCTATAGCTTAGGTATAGAACTAACAGCCAATTTTTACAAATATGCAAGATTGAAAATCACAATTTTCTCTTCATAGCACTGCGTGGGAAAGCTTACCTATGTTGCACATAGTTTTAAATCTGAAGTCAAACTCCTCTTGCAAGTCTTCTAGATATTTGACGTCTTGTTCTGTTAGCTGTTTTCAGATTAAATGCATTTAGTAAGTGATCTAATAGTTTATAGCATATAGCAAACAATAATGACATTCCCTAAAAAGCTTTAGTTTCACTGAAATGAAATGGAAATGCTACAGTTGCTATCTGCTTCCTTAGTGAGAAAAATAGCTGGGATTACAAATCATACTAAAACAAAAAGTGGATTGATTTCTACCCAGCCAACCAATTTTAGTTTATTCAGCAAAACACTGTAATTGTACACTAAGTGTAACATGCTGTGGATATATAGTGCATCTATGCATGTCTATTCAGAAACAAGCCCCAATTTGTTCACTGATGCTTAGGCTTATATAAGCATGCACAGAACTGCAGTCTTAAATTTCTCTTTTGTGTTTAATCAAAAAGTACAGCTCACACCCTAGTTTCAATGAGGTTTTTCAACCACCTGAATTCAAGAGGGCAATATCGTGCATTTAAAACGATTTTGCAGGGGTTCATAATTCCAAAGAAGCCTTCCCAGACTTGGATTAATGTGCCAGCTCCCAAGAGTATCGTTGAAACAGAATTAGTGGACACATTCTCAGGTACTGGGATATAGTTGCAGAGAAACTTTCTACCCCTGATACATTAACAACAATAGTCAAAGCTCTGAATGGGGACATTCAAATGAGGTATGTTTCACTTGTACTGTACCTTAAAAAGGGCAACAATTTCTATCATATATCATCTCATTCTTCTGTACATGTGGATCTAGTTTCAAATCATGATACTTAATACATATAAAGAAAATTGGTACCACTATAGTTAATCCCCAACTTACAACTGTAATGGAGCCAAATTTCAGTCCTAAATCATGATGGTCATAAGCTGAGGCATACATACGACCAACCTGATTTTACAACCTTTTTTGCGATGGTTATTAAGCAACCATTGGTTGTTTCTTGAGTCAATGCATTCCTGTGGTTGTTTTTTGCTGGAAAGTGGGTGACCGCAGGTTGTGTGTTCAACTGTCTGAATTCCAGAACTGGGTTGTAAGCACCTTTTGGGGTGGGGGTGTCCGTTGTAACTTTGAACAGTTGTTAAGGGAGAACTTACTTATACATTAGATCAAAGATCAAAGATACATCAAATTTGATGTATCAAATATTAAATGCACAAACTGTAACAACTTGCCTGTGTACTGTTCTTAATTTCAGAACCCTTGAGCTCGATTTTTCTTTGCCTTTCTGAACCCAAGTAGCTTTGTAGTGACTTTTCTAGTGGTCCCTAGAAAAAGAATTGTGACAGGTCAGTTTATTAACACTATCCCACAGCACAGATTATTTAATGGCGAGTTTTAGTGAGAGGGGACGGAGTAAATTCAATAAGGCCAACTGACCTTTGGTAATAGTTCAGCTTTTTCAAAGGCAAAACACAGATGTGGGAATCACTTACAAAAAATATTCCTGGTAAATGGAGAAAATTGGACTGCCACAGGTATAATAATTGTTTATCTAAAAACAGCCCAAAGGAAAGTTTTAAAAATGATGAGTGTTCAATGGCAAATCAAGATATGTTTAGGAACCCAAGACTACTGAATGGTATTTTAATGAATTTAGGACCAATGTCCCTCTGAACCTTGAGCCGGTCTTCTGAAATATTAGTATATTAAAGCTTTGCAAATTTGATGGACATTAAATCTATCTCCTTGTCCTCCTCTAGGTCATTATCATAAAATTACCTGAACTGGCATACTTGCTGAAGCCAATACTCTTCTTTCTTCTCTTAAACAGTTTGAAATAACCAGTGCTATATGTAGAGGGTTACTTTGATATTTTGCCTGAAAAACAAAGTTAAAGAAACATAAGAAAAATCATATCCTAATAGCAAAAACCAGCCACATATAGTAGAAATGCCATGGACTCATTACAGAAAATTCATATCCATTCTTTATATGTATGCAATATATGTGATTGCATACATTAAGTCAGTTTTATGAATCGTAACATTTCTCTGCATATCCATAATCTTTTCTATCGCTTCTTTATTTTCCCCATTTCGTCTGTGCTGTTTCTCTCAAACTTGTATTTGGTTCTCTAACAAAAGGTAGATAGACATTCAATATCTGAAGTTTTCACCACCATTGTATCTGCATTCTGCAGTAAGTTTCTTACCTGCTTAGTCTTTCATAAAAAATGCTTACATGAAGCTCACAAGATATTAAATCTTTTAAGGGAGTACAGCTGGGACATTTTACCAATGAATTTGGGTGATTGTTATATGCACCATTGAAATTTTGATTTCTGGCTTTTTAAAAAATCTTTATATATGTTTTTTTTTAATCCTCTCTTTTCCTAACTTTCCACTCTACCATTTCTCCCATATCAGAACTGGACTAATAGAAAGGTCTTTGACAGGCACAAAATATTGCAATAGCACTTGGACTTATATACTGCTTCACAGTCCTTTACAGCACCCTCTAAGTGGTTTACAGAGTCAACATATTGCCCACAAGAATCTGGGTTCTCATTTTACCGACCTTGGGAGGATGGAAGGCTGAATCAACCTTGAGCCTGGTGGGATTTGAACTGCCAGCAGTCAGCAGAAATAGTCTGCGGTACTGCATTCTTACCACTATGCCACCATGGCTCTTAGTATCTTAATGTAAGAACATGGATGGTGCCTTGTTGGATTGGACCCTTGATCCATCTAGTCAATTAGTTTGTTCTCATAGTGGCCAACCAATCATACAAGGAAGCCCTCTAGTCCCCCAGCAGATGGCCTCCAATGGCACTCTGGCTCCAATGGAATGTAGTAAGGAGGTTGATTTCCAGGAGGGGGGGTGTTGTCTTCCAGAGGAGTAAGAAGAAAATCAGTTCAGAGAGAATGAAGAAGCCCCTTTCTAATAGTTCATACGCTTTAGATGAGACAGTATATAGAATAGAATAGAATAGAATAGAATAGAATAGAATAGAATAGAATAGAATAGAATA